TCATGCATGCTCCAAAAGCTTTGGTGTTAAATCACAAACCCAAATATCATTTACCAAATCAGGCTCAACCAGCCTTTAAGGCCTGTTCACTTATTCAGTAAATAATTACAGTCAGTGCTCTTCATGAGTTCCACAGCCATGGATTTGACCAACTGCAGAACCAAAATACTGGGAGGAAATTGTGTAAGTTTTGAACACATACAAGACTCCCTGAACAAAACAGAGTAACAGTTATTTATGGAATGTTTCATGTTAGGTATCGTAAGTGATCTACAGATGATTTAAGGATATGAGAAGATCTTCATAGACTACATCAAGTACTGGGCCCTGGCTGGACCACGCAGACTTTGGGAAGCAGTGTGGAGTTTGCAATATATTCTAAAAGCAAGAGGGTGTTTCCAGGGACAACATGGCGGGCGGGGGCAAGATTTGAATCCCTATTTTAGAAAGGTCCACAGGACTGTGGAAGAGACCCAAGCTAAAGCAAAGACCAGTTAAGATGCAATGTCGGGAATCCAAGCAAGAAAGAAATGATGGCAGTTTCAACTAAGGTGTTGGCTTCAGAAATGGAGCAAGAAACAACCAATACTATAGGTCTTGGAGGTAGAACCAATAGAACTCTGATTAAGGTGCTCGAGGTGAGACAGGGTGGAGTGTGAAAGGGTCAAGGACAAAGCCCAGATTTCTGGCCTAATGAAAAAAAATTGATGGTAGAGGTATTTTATTATTATTTTATGTGTATGAGTATATTGCCTGCATGTATGTAGGTGCACTTGTGTCATGCAATGCCTGTGGAGGTCAGAAGAAGGCATCAGACTCCCCGGAACTGGAGTTATAGAGGTTCTTAGCCACCATGTGGGTGCTGGGAATCAAACTCAGGTCCTCTGCAAGGGAAACCAGCGCTTTTAACGGTAGCGACATTTTTAAGGATGACTGAGAAAGGAAGGAGAAAATTGGAACTTGGTATTTGGAAAAGTTAAGTCTGGCATGTCCACAAGATACCCATCTGTAGTTCTAGCTATGATCAAATTTAAAATTTTTAAGATTTATTTTAATTATGAGTATGTGTAGGTATATGTGCATGTGAGTGCAGGTGCCTGTGGAGACCAGAAGAGGGCATCAGATCCCCTGTAACTGGAGGTACAGGCAGTTGTGAACCATCCAACTTGGATGTTGGGAACCAAACTCCAGTTCTCTGCAAGAACAGCAAGTGCTCTTAACCACTGAGCCAGCTCTCTGGCCCATCAAAAGTTTTTAAATCTTTAATGAAAGATAACACCAACCCTTCTACTTTTTCAGGTTGTACCCAGACACAAGACGTATTTACTAAGACAACTGTGGGAAGTAATAAAGGGTTTGAAATCTTGGTTCATGTTTATTATCATACTGTGTTGAGAATTTTTAGTGAAAAATTAATTGGTTGAATGAAAATGAACTTGGGCTTAAGTATTTGTTTCTCAAGTAGCTTTAGGAACACAAGCCTGCGATGTCTTTCTTAAGCATACCTATGCAGTGTGTGGATGGATGGACAGATTTATATATATATATATATATATATATATATATATATATATAAAATATATATATATAGAGAGACAATATTGTAGCCCCCATATATGGAACAGTTTCTGTTTCTTTTTGTTGTTAGCTCTTCTGTGTCGCTACTGCAGAACACAGATTCCTGAAACAAGACAACAGATGGACGCACCAAGGCAAAGCAGAACTGCCCCTCTGAAAACCTTCCTGTCACTGAACTTCTTGCCTGTACCTCTCTCATGTAGTGAGAGCCATCCTTTCTGCAGCTATTTAGAGACTTCAGCATGTTTATCCCGGACACTTTCCAAACACATGTTGCAGTAGAATCTTGCTACAAAGTGAAATCAATCGTGTGAAACTAACAACGACTTTTCTATGTGTGAGGGAGGCTAGAAATATCTCAGAGATAACAAAAGCAAACTGAGCACAATCTGTTTCCCATCTTTAAGGTGATTTCAATTCCAGGAGGAATTTAAAATTTTGAAGCTTAAAATTCCAAATGGTTGTGTACTAGTGGCCATACCTACCTATACCACTGATCATTGTCTATGTGGCCATTGGTGGTTGCTACATCAATGAAGACAATGCAAACGATGTCTGAGCATGTTCATTATATTCACAAGATACAGCAATAGGCTAGGCATGGTGGTTCACAGCTGTCATCTCTGCATTCAAGAACTAGGGCACGAGGAATATCACGAGTTTGAAGCCAGCCTGGGCTACATAACAAGACCTCATCTAAAAAAATAATTAAAAGACTGGAGAAATAGATCAGTCTGTAAAGAACTTGCCACACAAGCATGAAGGCCCAAGTTTGAACCCCAGAGCTCATGTAGAAAAAAGCCAGCTGTGGTGGCACACATTTGTAATCCCAATGCTGGGCAGGTGGAGACAGGCAGATCCCTGGAGCTCACAGGCCTACGTGGCAAGCTCCAGTCAACAACACTCTGTCCCAAGGCTGTCCTCTGCCTCCACAAGCACACACACATGTATGCACACACACCTACGCAAATATGCACACACATACATACACACAAAAGAAACAATGACAAAAACAACCCATTGTATGGTGATTCCACTTTTCTTAACTTCTCATCTTCAAGTTGGTTTTCTTTCCAAAAGTTGATTTGAAGAATTTTATATTTCTCTAGCCAGAAACTCCCTAATTCTCACTCTAAACAACCACTGACACTCTTTCTGCAAAGTGCAATGTGCTTTACTCCCTGGTGTCCCTGCCTACCTTTCCCAACCTCATTCCTAGCTACGTTCTGCCGGAGTCCTGCTCCAGCTGAGTCCGGGGCCTGACAGGGTGAAGGTAACAGCAGCGGCAGAAATGACTGTACCAGAAACCACAGTTGCAGTTCTAGTAGAGGCTGCTGACTGACCCGCTAGGAAGAGGTCAGCCTGAATATCTTCTTTCTTTTTGAAAAAGCAGCTTTCTGCCACCTTTGTTTATAATTAGAAAGCTTACAATAGCAGTAAAGCATCTGACCATAAATCAAACCATGAGTTTGCACAATATTTCTCAGTGCACAATATTTTTCAATAATCACAGTAAAAGTATAAAGTTCAATGATTAACCTTTTCTTAACATAGCCAAGCAATGTCTTTATTGTTTTCTTTATAGCCTTGCAGTTTCTATTTTCTGTTTTACCATAGGAGTGTAAGACAGCCTGTCCCCATTTGCCCTTTAATTCTTTGAATTTAACATTTACAGGTTGGTGTGTATATTTGAGAAAATTATTCTTCTCATGGGAACGGGAACAACCAACTCTTTTTATCTATTGTCTAACAAATTTTCCAATTTACCTTTTTCCTCTCCCTTTTGCTATCTCTTTCTGAACGTTTTGTATTCTTTGAGTTGTATTATTATTTTTTTTCTTTTCCAGTATCCTTTATTATTTTGTTGTCATTTATCTTTTAAGGGCTTTTTGAACTGCTTTTTGTCTCTGTAAACGAACAGGCCTTTTTTCTTCAGAGGTCACACACTACCAGCTTTTTCCTGATCTAGCTAATCTTTTTATTCAAGAGGGAATTTCCCTAAGCCAAGTAGTTTTTCCTTCAGACTTTAGTCTCAATAGTTCCTCATTCAGGGTTAAAATCATAAACTCCTGTAAAAGGCAGCAAGGCATCTATTGCATGCTATCTTTTCCTTTTGGAAAGCCTCATTATTAATCACAAATGCAGGTCCAAACGGGGTCATAGTCATAGGAGAAAGTTGTCTATCTTTTTACTTTCATTTTGTTTTAGTAACATGATAATTCTGCTAAAGGCAGAGATTTCCCCGGCTTAGTTTCCCATTCCATCATCAGAGTTGGTTATCGAAATACTTAAAGAAGAGAAGGTTATACAAGTTACAAAAACCAGGAGTAACTGGGGGAGGGATGTCCACCAAAAGAGCAGCGGCCATCGGCTTTCGGCTGGAACTTTGTCAGACAGCACGCTTGCCAAGAACCACGGAACTCTTGGAGCCACCAATCTTCATGTGACCTAGCAATGTCTGAGCAATCCTACTCACCTGCTTTTAAAGAATAAAACAGAGAAAAAACCTTTTGGCATGATAAGAATAGGAGGTAGGAATTGGCTAGGCAGTTAGGGTAAAAAGACCCCAAAGAAAAGTAGTCAGTTTCTAGACTAAAAGTCAAAATGTCCTTGGGCCTGTTAGCAACATACTCTGTTCCAAAGGCCAAAAATGTCAAAAGTATTTGGGAGCTTGTATCTAATCCTTAAAAGAGTTTAGGGTTACCTCATCAGAGGGGGGAATGTTAGTATAGCCAAGAAAGTATTAGGGAGCTTGTATCTAATCCTTAAAAGATTTTAGGGTTACCTCTTCAGAGGGGGGAATGTTAGAGTAGCCAAAAGCCCCATAAAAATAATCAAAGAAGAAGAAAGAGTACATGAAGTTATCAGAAAAAATTGTTTTAATTATTAAAAAAAAGACCAACTTCTCATCCAAAGCCCTGTAGGCTGCCCCCATTCCTCCTGTACTTCCAAGCTCACTTCCCAGGATGCTTTTGCACAGCACTGTTCCTCTACCACACATCTCCAACACACTTTGCATTTTCTCATCCTAGTAACCTTGCTAGTCAACTCTGACCCTTTGGGCGTTCATTTCCTCTTTTCTCCTGAATTCTACACTACAAGTTTCCTCACCACACCTCCTGTGCCATTTAGGACTTACTTTTTCAACTAGCTCTCCTAACCCTCACCACCCTACAGTGATAGTTTTTCTTCTCAAAATTATAACATTTATTCCCTTGGCATTTAAAATCATTGGACACAGGGGCCAGCAAGATGGTCAGTGGGTAAAGGCACTTGCTGCCGAGCATGATGACCTGAGCTATCCCTGGAATCCACATGACAGAGAGCTGACTCTAAAGGTTGTCCTCTGACTTTTGCACACCTGCTGTGGCATTCATGTTTGCCTTCCCCCAACCAAATAAACAAATGTCAAATAAGTGAGCTATGTTTAAAAGCTTATTTAATCGTCTGGCATAAAAGCAGCAGAAGTAAATCCAGAACGCATCAAGTCTACAGACATACTTCACAGGTAAGGGAACTGAAGCCCAGAGATGAGACTGACTAGACAGCAGCAGCCCCAAAATACTCTAGTGAATCAAATCTAAAAGTACTTGCTCAGTGCTAAAAAAAATTTCAAGTTTTTAACAATGTGCCCTTGACTTATCTAATTAACAAAAAACTGCTGTGTACTATTTAGCAGATATGATACTGAGAAGAAGGACTTTACCCACAAGAAATTCACAATGGCAAAAGAAAAACAAGAAATACGGAAAGCAACAATTACAGCAGAATTTAATACTGTCTCTGAAAGAAAAGAAAGCCACCTGTAGACTCTGGTCCTTCCAACCGTTCACTCACTCGCTCACTCATGTGCTTCACAGAGAGATGATACATAGGGAGAGTTGGGGGGAGACTGATTGATTGATCGACTGATTGATTGACTCAGTGGGAGAGCAAGTAGAAAAAAAAATGTTATCTTTGGAGCGGGCAAGAGGCAAGATTGTTCAGAAGTGCTTTCAGAATGTAAAAGCACTTGCTGCCAAGTCTGACCACCTGAGTTTGATCCCCAGAACCCATGTAAAAGACAGGAAAAAGCCAACTAGAAAAGTTGTCGTCTGACCTCTGCACACTCAACATGACAAGTGTGCACCAAACATTTGCCATGTACACACACACACATACACACACACACACAGAAAAAATCTTTCAAATATTATCTTCAAGTAACTCATAAGCAACAAACATCAGAAATGCCAATGTTATCATGAAAAGTAATGTTTTTGTGATAGATCAGATCTGTAAAATTTGGATTATTTTTTTTAAATCTGGAAATATATGTAATCTTTTTTTCAGTGTGTGTTTTGATGTGGCATGCCCACTTTTCAATTTATTTGCTGAGTGATATTAAGCAAAAACTTAAATTTTTTCAAATTTAATTTTTTTAATGGGAAAATGGAAACAATGCCCACCTTGCATGGTATCTGTAAAAATTCAAACAGAAAGTACCTTTAAAAACAACAGCAATCTTGCCATTCAGGTAACCAATACAAAATATTCTACATGAATAAAATAGTTTGCCAACTAAAACATATTAAAATTTAACCAAATGGGCATTGCACTGTCAAAATTTGTAATGAAAGTCCTTTAGGTGCTCTCCAATAGCCTATTTTACAAATTTTTCTAGAATCATAGTCGGTGTCCAAGTTCTTTTAGAATGTATTAGGTAGCAACATTCTGAGACTCCACTGTGTACTGACTGCAACATGGAGAGAAATGTAAAACCCTGCATTTAAAAAGTTTAGCATACCAACAGGAACACCAGATAGCAGTTGTTTGTGCAAAGCAAGAAAATGCACTCTTGAGGAGCCACTCATAATGAAAAGAGAACAGGGAAGAATTCGGTAAATAACTGCAGTCGGTGACCTGTGTGGGTTCCACAGCCATGGATTCAACCAACTGCCAATCCAACATTCTGGGGGGCTACTTGCTTTCTCACTAAAAAAGATATTCAAGATACACTGCAAGTTTGATTTTTAAGCATATTTAAATATACAACAAAACAGATCAGGCACTCCAGAACACAGCATAGAGATACAATTACATGGTGAACGCTTAATGTTCTAAAAGGATAAAGAGCCTTTTCAAATACAAAATTGGTCTTTCTACAACATTAGTCATTAAGAACTATTCTCCTTTATAGACCACAATATTATTATCAGTTTCATACACTTTTACTTTATAGAGAACTCCCCTCGGAAGGAATTTCTGGAGGTTCGCCCAGATATATACAGCTACATTTTCTGTCGTGCTGTAGGGGAAAAAGGAAAGAGGTTCAGAATACAAGTAATGAACAAAACTTCGTGTTTAACATAGAGAACACAGACATTCCAGTAATGAAAGATATCATTAAACTAGTATTTCAGAAACCACAGAGCAAAATCATATAAAACGCTAATTTTTTTATTTCTATTAGTCAGGGCAAGACAGTAACCCCCACCTTACAACACTAGCAAAGTATGGCACATCCAGATCCAAATTCTTGTGATCAAGGGGCTTCATGATGGCCTCCTGTAGACAGAAAAAGGAAAAACTACTGATTCCGTTTATGACTCCAATTCCAAAGGGTTCTACCTGAGCCTTAAAGCCTTACCCTCTCATTTAGCCAAAACTCAATTTGGCAAAAGTATTTTATCTGGGTCCTACAAAGCAGTCTTGTGTGATTTAAAGCTGCAGGACAAAGGCAGACCTAGCTCCCTTTGATAATTACTTATCTTTGTTACTGAATGCAAAAGAGGTGAGAAATCAAAAAATAGAGATCTCCTGGTGCTTTCTGCACACACAGGCCATCATGGCTCACAATTCACTTTAATGCTTCCTGGATTCTGTCTTTAAAAGTTACCAGAAATACTATCCCACAACACAGTGTCACCTGTGGAAAAGTATCACTGTGTCGTTAAAACCAAGTCTGAAATTACGAAGTTCTAAATTTCTGTTGCAAAGAATAATTTAACAATAATCTTCGCATAAACATGTGCAGAATACTACTTCCTAATGTTTACATATATTAACATAATGTTTTTTCTTGTCATTAGCAAGAATTGTAATCGCTTTATTCTAAGTTTTTACTGTTAGTTCTTGTACAAAAAAAATCTAAGCATTTGTAAAACAACCTAATTTTCCATATGGTCTGATTTCGAGAAGAGTACATTAATAATAATTGTTCTTTTCTTCAGGAAAAAAGAATCACACAAAAACAGTAAGTCTTAGATCAACTCGTTTTTAAAAAACAAGATCAAATGAAGATCTTCAATTCCAGTTCTGATCACAACTTCCCCATCAAAGTTTGTACAGGACTCTCTGTACTTCACTTGACCGGCCACGATAGGTCACTTTTACTGGTGGGAGCATGGAAAACTTTATGTGACAAAAGAGGAAGAAAATCCTACGAGCTGCTCCTCAAGTATTCAGTCACAGTTGCTGGAGACGATCCATACCACTGTCTTATTTAGCACAGTACCTTGTGTATACATGTTCTCTGTGCCCAGTAAAAGCAAGACCTCCACCTTTACGACTTTCCTAAATGGCACAGAGTCGTCTGTTTGTTCATTCATCTTACTCATTTACTTAATAACTTTTGAGTACTTACTATTCTTTACCTCCTAGAAGAAGTAATGTATATATTCTGTGGACTACATCGCATTCATTCATCTTTATTTTTCAAAATACTCAGATTTTAAAAGGAACAAATATGTTGAATATATGAATAAATAATGTGAAAAAGTAATGACTACCAATATTTTTATAAAATACATGACAAATTTTAGAATAAGAGTTAAGTTGAAGAGTTGAAGTGAAGAAGTAAGCACGTAGACTAAGCAAGCAGGTTAAAATGGTGGTGTAACAGAAACAACTAGATGGAAAAAAAAAAATCTCCCAACTTTGAGACCAATAATAACCACATAATATGGGCAGTGAAGGTAACTGTTCAATATATCTCAATTTTAGTGTATAGAATGAAGAAACTGGGATGGACAGGCTATAAGATCTCTTACAATGCAAGAACTTATGATGATACCATCAGGAAGTTCTTTATTGATTATCTTATGTGTTATCTCTATCATGAATTGCCCCAATAAACTTTATCATAAAACAAAGTGTGATCTTGGGGCTAGAGAGATGGCTCAGCGATTGAGCCCTCAGTGATTAAGTACCTACTGCTCTTTCAGAGAACCCGTCAGTTCCCAGTACCCACATCAGATAGCTCACAACTGCCAGTAACTCCAGCTCCAAGGGATCCAATGCTTCTGGCCTCCACGGGTACCTGCACTTTCATACTCTGTGGCCTAGGTCTCATTCATTCATCTTTGTATTTTCAATACTTAGTTTAAAAAAAAGAAAAGAAAAACGAAGCACATATCCCCACACACACACACACAATTCAAAATAAAATAAATCTAAAGAAAAAGAAAAAATGTTGTTTAAAAAAAAATGTAGAGATGGCTTGGTGCCTAAGAGCAATGGCTACTCTTATAGAAGACGGAGATTCAGTTCCCAGCACCCACATGGCAGCTAACAACTCTACCTAACTCTGCATCCAGGAGAGATGATGCCCTCTTCTGACCTCCACAGGCATTGCACACACAGGTACACTTATATACATGCAGGCAAACACTTACACACATAAATTTTTTTTAAAAATAACCCCTCAAGACAATCTATGATTAAAGGTACAATATTCAGAGAAGGAACAAAAAACATCAAAAGAGAAAGGTGTGTGGAAGAATTTGATAAATGGAGAAAATGAGGTTACTCCAAAGAAAAGCAGATGAGTGTGTAACATTTCTCCCCTTCCATATAGCACAACCATAACTATTTTCCAGTAAAAACCGTGAGAGCAGTTACTCCAACTATTCCCCCATTCCCGCACCTCACTTATAACACCATGGCACCTCAAGAGATAAAGTGGACAGGGGGACACTAAAAATGATACTGAGCAGTATCACATAATGAGCACCTAATATGGCATTACCTCCATGTATTCTTTGAGATCAGTCAAATTCATAACCATTCCCGTAACAGGATTGATCTAAGAAAGAAACAAGGGTGAATGGTATTGTACTTGGCTCTTCATATTTAAACTCTGGCAAAGCTGGGCTGGTGGCTCATGCCTGTGATCCCAGCATTTGTGAAGCAGAGGCAGGAAAACCTGGAGTTAAAGGCCATTCTTGGCTACAGACAAGTTCGGATCCAGCTTGGGCTACATGAAGCCCTGTCTCAAAAATAAAATAAACTTTTGGCAAGTTATTAAAGGCTGTATACTGTAAAGATTGTACCCATGTTTGCCTTCATCCCAGAGACACTCATTGTTCTTAGTAAAGAAGCACCATGTACTTCTGGCCCCCTTTCTGTTGTGTGGCTCTTCCCATGTCCATACGTAACAGGGGAGGGGCCCAGCATGGCCTGGCATGGCAACAGCTCACCACACAGAAGGGCCAACAATGATACAACTGAAACACAAGTTTCCAATACAGATTCCACCACATTGGCTGAAAGGTGGCCCAACAATCTGGACAAATCACACAAGTATTTTGAGCACATACCTCTCCATGTACTGTCACCACAACTATCGGAAAGGAAACAAAAACACCAAAAAAAAAGCATGACTTTCAACAAATTAAACATATAAGCACAAGTTAGCAACATATTAGATCTCTGGTCCCCAAGGTTATACTTATACTTTTCTCCAAATATTTATTCTTTCAGTTAACATCTTTTTATCAACCAAAGCAAGACTGAGACAAAACAGAGGCACTTAGCAGGGGCTGTGGCTAAGCAGAGCAAATTAGCCAAATCCAAAAGGGGTGTAAATTTTGCTATGTTGATGCACTAGGAGGGATGGAGATACAGCTCAGTCTCCGTAAAAGCAGAACACATACCTGCAGGTGTCCAGCTCTATGCCAAACTGGCCCAATTCTAGACATACCTTCCTGAGCAAGCAAAACCACATTACTTACAAGACTATATACTCAGTTTATAACAATACTTTGTAAAACGAATGTCAGGTGTTTGCATGAAGCATTTAAAAACTTGGTCAGTCCTTTTATAAATGAATGACTTTTACAAATTTGTAGTTTTTTAGCTCTACATAAGCACCACTAGGTATTACATGACAAGTGCACTGAGATTGGGAGTTTATCATAGAGAAAATACGAGCAGTGACTAAATTAGAAATCTGATCTTTGGACACCTTTTGTTACCCTACCACACCATATGATATTGTACTCTATGGCTTATATAGTTGCTTTCTGAGGCATCAGGTACATCTTTTAAAAAAAAAAAAAAAAAAAAAAGGCCTTTATCATCAAATTACTTCCTTAAAACACTCCTGGCAAAATTTTATATCCAAACCATTTTCCTGCCTTCAATACATTTCTAAACAATAGTCCCCTTTCATCGGCCATTATTTACTCAAAGAATATAGTAATTTATTTTTATTTTGTGATGATGGTTTAAAATTTTAAATTAATTTTAACTTATACATAAAAATATAAAAAGTGCCCATATAAATGGGGAACTAGTTGAAGTTTTGACCCATTTATAAATAGTGTAATTGGGTTAAACATATATTGATTATAATGTAATTTTAACATTGGCTTTAGCCACCCCTAACTGAAAGGAAATATAAAGCTAGGTTTTTGTTTTTTATTTTTTTTAATTAGGCATTCTAATGCTACAGAAAAATTCTTTAAATCCCTTTTTTTTTTTTTTTTTTTTTTTTTTTTTTTTTCGGAGTAAAGCTTATCCAAACATGACAACAGAGCTTTCTATCTTGAACTCCCACTGAACTCCTCACTGAAGGGCTCAAAGTAGTTACACCACCCACAAGGCTCCTTACTCGTTACACCAAACTTACTGAACACTCTTTCCTCCTTACTGCAAGGTTAAAATTTAACATGTTTTCCTCTCACCTTTATAATTGTGTCCGTGGCCATTTGGATTGTTGCATTTCCCAAACACTTTCAAGTTCTCTTCATCGCTCAGAGATGGGCTGACAAAGAGAAAAAAAAAAGTCAGGATAACACAGGATGACTCATATCCAGGTTCGTCTGGTCCCACATTTGTTCACTTTACTCTGGTTTTTGAAAAGTTCCACAATTTATTTTTACTGGAAAAATCACTTTGATTTCATTATTCACACTTCAAGAACAATGCACACTTCCTAATTACACTATTGTGTCAGATAAATTATCTCAAGCAAACCTTATTCAACCTGCTTGTTCTACAGCAAGATTCCAAAAGCTGCACTCAGATCTAACCTTTTTTTTTTTTTTTTTTTTTTTTAAGGCAAGGTATCCTGAATCCCAGACTGGCCTGACAGTTGCTATGCAGATTAGCACAACCTTGAACTTCTGATCCCCCTGCTCCACCTCACAAGTGTTGGGATTATAGACATGTACCACCACATAATTTATGTGGGGTTGGGGTTTAAATCCAGGGCTCCCTGCATACTAGGCAAGCATGCTACCAACTGAGCTACAGCCCACCTCCATTTTTCAATTCAACAAACACTGAGTACCAAGTATGGGGCACAACGTTGTTTTAGGTTTTTAACCCTTTTGAGATCTTCCTCCCAACTTTCTCCAACTTCTCACATATAAGCTAACATGACAGCTCACAAAGCTTATACAGAAAATTCTCTCACTGTACTCCCTATAAGGCTTGGCCACATTTTAAACTCCCTACGGGGTGAAGGGACAAATGTCTTTTCCCCTATAGCATCCTTTGCATCCAGCACAAGCCTTATAAGCACAGAAGAAACCCTTGTCCAATAATGAATGGATGAAGCCTGTTAGAAATAATTATCCTCATTTTACAGACCAGGAAATGGAGGTACAGAGTGACCTTCTAAGTGAGTACTGGAAATCTCCATAATCACTTGACAGTATGGTCTAGGTACAGGGGATTCAGTTCTCACTGTACTGATTGCTCAGGAAAACGGGGTTCTTTTTTATCTTTGGTAAACTAGGGATCAGACTTCCCTTGTACTACACGCGGTAGCTCAGGCACCTGTCATACTGTACTACACACGTTAGCTCAGGCACCTGTCACATGACTCTAGCTAGTTTCTCTGAGCCTACACCGGGTACCGTGTGACACGTCTCCAGGACCTCCCCAGCAGCAGCATTTCCGCCCTCTCCCGGGCGGGGCTTCAGCGCCGCTGTGCACGGGCCCCTCGCTGACGTCACCCTCCCGCCACGCCCAACTCGGTCTGAACCCACACGTGTAGCCACCCTCAGCCCCGCCCCCGGTGGCTCACCCTCCCGCCCTGCTCGGACACCCGTGGGCACACTCACCTGTGCAGCCGGTGGCTCGCACTGAAGCACACGAGGCGCGACAATCGCGCCCGGCGACCAGGGACTCCCGTCGTGCTCATGATCTTCCCGCCGCGCCCCGCATCTCCTGCTTCCGCCAGGCCAAGGCCAGTTCTGTTGCCCTCCTGCGGCTGCGCAGGGCGGGCTGGCCCCGGAAGCGCTTCTCAGTTTCTGGTCCAGCACTGGCTTGCCAGGGTGATCGCTCCACCCCACTGGAGGCCTCTCCTGCTCTCTGACCATCCTTGAGGCGGTTATATGTACCTTAGAGCACTGGGTGGGAAGTCACTATCTGGATTTTTAGGTTGGCCCAGCACGAGGCCAGCCATATGTTTTGTGTAGATATGGATGCAGTTTGTCTTCCTGCAATTTCTTTGAACCTTCTCTCCCACTTCATTTTAGAAAGCCCTAGGTTAGAATAGAAAACTCTGGGACTGGAGAGATGGCTCAGCGGTTAAGAGCACTGGCTGCTCTTGCAGAGGACCTGGGTTCGATTCCCAGCACCCACATGGTAGCTAACAACCGTCCATAACTCTAGTTCTAGGGGATCCGAGGCCCTCTTCTGATTTCTGTGCACGTGAGTGCACTTACACACCTGCAGGCAGAACACTCAAATAATAATAATAATGAAAGAAAACACCTAGTGGCTGGCTGTCCTTATCAGATACACTCCAGCCTAGTATAACAAGTAGGGTATCCTTATAGTAAAAGAAAAATCTAGCTAAGGGTGATGGGGGGAGGGGGGAGGGGAGGTGTGACTCTTAAGGGTTCCTAGCTTAGGCAACATCATGATAAAACCCTAGCTCAAATGAAAAATAAAGGAATACTTTGGCACAGTGATAGGCAGGTGAAGGAACATTGTGCAAAGACATCCAAAAGCCAGAGATAGGCCTAGAAAGTAGATCATTCAGAACCCTCAGGAGGAACCAACCACACTTGATCTCTGACTTCCAGCTCTCCAAGCTCTTGCAGAGGACTCAGATTCGATTCCCAGCACCTACATGGTGGCCAACAACCATCCATAACTCTAGTTCCAGGGTGTGCTGGATAGCTTTAGTGTCAACTTGACATACCTGGGTTGAGGGAGCCTCAATTGGGGAATTGCCTCCATTGGACTGGTCTGTGGCCATGTCTGTGGGGCATTTTCTTGATTGTTGAGTGGTGTGGGAGGGCCCAGCCCACTGTGGGTGGTGCCATCCTTGGGCAGGTGGGCCTGTGTTGCATGAGAAAGTAGGCTGAGCGGGGTCAGGGAAACAAGCCAGTAAGCAGCATTCCTCCATGGCTTATGCTCTAGCTCCTGCCTCCAGGTTCCTGCCCTGAGTTCCTACCTTGGGCTCCCCGATGATCTGTGACCCAGGAGATTTATGCTAAATAAACCCTTTCCTCCCCAAGTTGATAGTGGTCAGAGTGTTTTGTCACAGCAATGGAGAAACAAACTAGGACGTAAAACAAACGTAAAACAAAAATAAATTTTTAAAAAATAAAAGAAGCCCTGTAAGTAATTCAAAGGGGCACATATTGGCAAGATAATTCCCAGAGTCATGAGCCTATCATTAAATTAAAAAATTCAAAAAGTGTTTACTTAAGAGCTAAATACGACGCTGGAAGTGCCAGACATGCATCAGAACAACAAACATGATCCCTGTCCTCTGAAAGTGCAGTTCAAAGGGGCACACAAGCAGAAATAATATGACAAGTGAAAAATCATTAATTTTGCCTTAGAAAGTAAAAAGAAAACTTCAGAGAAGAGATTACTTCTGAGCTGGATTTTAGGAGTTTAACATATGGGTAAATAGGAAATTCCAGGAAGAAACATGTAAGCAAGGAGAGGTGGCTCAGTGGTTAAGAGAATTGGCTGTTCTTGCAGAGGACCAGGGTTTGGATCTTAGCACCCACATGACAGCTAACATGCACCAGAATGCCAGTTCCAGGGGATCCGACACCTTCTTCTAGCCTTCATGGGCACCAGGTATCTGGTGCACATACACACATGAAGGCACTTACATATATACATAAATTTTTTTAACTGTGAGCAAAGGAAATGTGGGAACGTGTGACTTTGTTGGTGCACACTGAAAACATCTTGGCTACCATGGGGAGTGAAATGAGAGACTACTGGAAACATTGACTAGAGAGACCAAATCATGGAAGAATTGTGAATGCCATTCTAAGCATGAAGGAAAAGACGCTCTTCCCTCTTGTGTCCCATCTAGTTCCTCCCCAAGAAAAAGGAATTTTCAACCACTCAAATATCATTTCCAGGCACAATTGAGCCTTGCTTACTCAAAGGCAGTGTCACAACATATGAAAGTTGCAAAGATAGTTGTAGCTTACTCTCTGGAGCTACCTACATCCATTCCCAAGAGGAGGAAAAAGAACAGTTGAAGCCCAAACTCTGCACTTCCATCGACCTGCCCACTCTGCTTTCTGCTTCTTGCCTCCCTGTGGTGAGCAGAGCCTGGAGCTGTCCCTCACACTCTTCCTTCCCAGTCCTTGTGTACTACAGACACCTTTGTCTTTGGGCACTGGCAACTCATCAACATTAGGCTGAGAGAAGACACATAGGTGCCTTGGTCATATGCTTGCTTAATTTTACCAAAATTTTCTGCATTGGACTACAAGGCACTGTGCCTAGAAATTGGTCCTTTCTTTTGTTTTCTTCAAAAATCTGGTGGCAGGGCCAAGGCAGGATTCAGGCACTACTGAGTCAATATCTTATGATTATACTGCAGCCCTTCTGTATTAAGATGGAAATAAGATCTCAGAGGAAAGATGTTATTAGATCTGTGTACTTCCCAGAAGTTGGACTCAATCAAGATAGGATAAATTAAGCCCTCATGTTTTGTCTGAGAAATTCGAAAGAATACTCTTTCATAGGCTGGTGTGAACATCAAGGGATTTATCCTCTCCAGATTACCTGGGGCGCCATGCTCCCATATCTGCTACATTAGTTCCGTCTCTGCATTGCATTCTCATCTCACAAACCCACACGTGGGGCTTTCCTTTTACTTTATTGTCATGGTACAAACCTCCACACAAGGCATTTATATGTATGGAACACTTCACTGAAGAGGATGGGATTAATGGAGTTTGGAATAACTCCTGAAGAAAATTAAAGAAGAGGCTGACAAAGCAGGAATGTGTGGAAAACAACCCTACATTTACGAGTGTCTCAAATTACATGTTTTTTCCCGCAACAGTGAAAATTTGAAAGGCGCCTGAACAGTTTAACTGGTCCAAGATTGCGGTTCTGCCATGAAGGGGATAACTGAAAGAAAAAAGAACAAGAAATTTTGAGGGTGTTGGCAAGCATGTGTTTTACCTGGGCGTTGGTAAAAACCGTTTCTCGTTTTCAAAATGTGAAAATTATACGGTCTCTACTGCCACCTGCTGCCCAACTAAATGAAGAACTACTTGACTTTTCATCAGTCTGGCGGGGGCGGCGGGGGGCGGATCTGGAAATTTGAAGAAATGTCTGATTTTAATGATGTCCCTCAAAACAACCACCTCCAAAGACTGAGCTGAGGGAAGGGTGAGCGTGGCAGTGGGTCATCTGTAAGAGGGTCAGTAAATTGAAGTGGCATCTGCCACAGACAGCAGAGAAACACCCCATTTAGAGGAGGCCACCAAACATGACAGAGCCCAAACACCTCAGAACTAGTGGTATCAGGCAGACTAGGACGGAACGAGCTGTAGACCTAGATCCTAAGACACCACCTATGGCCTTTTGTATCTTCTCCCAGGCATTCCACACACCTATCTGATAGTGTGGTAACGACCCAATTTTAGTCTTTTCTGTGTGTGATTCCTTTTAAACTTAGTGTGCCACCACACCTGGCTCCATGCATCTTTTCTTTTTTTAGAAAAAAACTTTTTAGGGGGACTGGAGACATGGCTCAGCAGTTAAGATCACCGCTGTTCTCGCAGAAGACCCTGGTTCCCAGCACCCACATGGTGGCTACCACCTGTAACTCCAGTTCCAGGGGATCTGATGCCCTCTTCTGTCCCCCAAGGGTACTGCATGACACGGGTGCACTTACTCACATGCAGGCATAACACTCATACATATAACATAAAAATAAATTTAAAAATTTTTTAAATTAAAAAAAAAGTTTGTGGCTGGAGAAATAGCTCAGTGTAACTCCAGTTCTAGAGGCTCTGACACCCTCTTCCGGACTCTGTGAGCATTGCATGCAGGCAAAACACCCATACACATAAAGAAATAGAGCTGGGCATGGTAGTGCACACCTTTAGTCTCAGTGCTGGGGAGCCAGAGGCAGGTGTATCTCTGTGAGTTTGAGGCCAGCCTGGTCTACATAGCGAGCTCCAGGTCAACTGGGGCTACAGAGAGACCCTGTCTCAAAAAGACCAGAAAAAAAAAAAAAAAGATTATAGTGTGAGGCTGGAGAGATGGCTCAGTGGTTAAGAGCAATGGTTGCTCTTGCAGAGGACCCAGGTTCAGTTCCCAGCTCCTGCATGGTCTTATTGAGACAGGATCTCCCTGTAGCCCCAGCTGGACTGGAACTTGCTGTGTAGACCAGGCCGGCTTTGAACTCACAGAGATCCACCTGCCTCTGCCTCCCAAGTGCTGGGACTAAAGGCATGTGCCACCACGCCCAGCTTATAAATTGTTTTACAGAAGAAAAATATTGATACATTTTTGTCAATGAGGTGAGGTAGCGCACACCTGTAATTCCAGGTACTCAACGGGCTGAGGCAGAAGGATCCAAGTTCAAGGCCAACCTTGAAAAGCCTCTGGGTTTGATCCCCAGTAAAGGAGTTTAAAAAAAAAAAAAGCTGTAAAAATGTTAACAGAATTTCTCTTGAAATAAAGTTTATGGATAATTTTTAAAAATTTGGCGGGGGCATGGGTGCCACAGCACATATATGAGGTCAGAGGACAACTTCCCAGAGTCAATCCTCTCCTACTTTTATGTGGGTTCCAGAGACTAAAGTCTCCAGGCTTGTGGTGTAAGCACCTTTACTTGCTGAGTCAGCTAGCTGGCCCTTTTCTTCATATTCTTATTAGCTGGAGAAAACAAATCCAATAAATGTACATTTAAGACTCTTTAAAATGGTCTTTGGGGCTGTCATGATGGCTCCGCAGGTAAAAGCACTTGCTGCACAACCCAGTCAACTTATGTTCAGTCTCCAGAACCCACAAAAGGCCAGATGCAGTGTGCAATTCTAGCACACTATGGAGAGATGGAAAGGCTGAGACAGAATTGCTCAGAAGTTCAGTCAGCTGACCTGGAGTACACAGAGCAATGGAAATGAGAGAAGCTTCCTCAGCAAGGTAGAAGGAAAGGATCTACTGCCAAAAGACATCCTCTGTCCTCCACAAGCCCACCATGGCATGAACATGCCTGCACTCACACACATACATGTCATAAAGACACACAATAACAAATCATAACATTTAAATTTTTTTTTTGGTCTTTTTGAGACAGGTTCTTTCTGTAGCCCCAGCTAGCCTGGAACTCACTATGTAGACCAGGCTGGACTTGAACTCACAGAGATCGCCTGCCTCTGCTTCCCGAGTGCAGGGATTAAAGGTGTGCGCCACCATGCCCAGCTAACATTTAAATACTTTTAAAAGTTGTACCAATGCACGTTTCATGGTTTCAAGGAAGAGCCCTAAGAAAATATAAAACTGTAATTATCTCACATATTATGTTTTTAATAGAAAATTTAAACCAAATGTCCATGTTTTTGTATTGGTTACTTTCCCCTTGCTGTGAAAATAATACCTACAGAACAGCTTCAAGGAGGAAAGATCTACTTTGGCTTACAGTCTCAGGGGATCTCAGTCCCTTACAGAGGGAAGGGCATGGTGGAAAGGGCATGGTGGAAAGGGCATGGTGGAAAGGGCATGGTGGAAAGGGCATGGTGGACAGCTCTTCAGTGGCAAAGATGGCAGCACAAGGCGGCAGTGAACCCGGAAGCAGAGAGCATGATGGACCCAGAGGCTTCAAACGATTGCCCCTCCTGCCTGTGAGGCCTTACCTTTTAAGGTTTCCACCTCCACCCCACCCCCAAATAGTGTCATAAGCTGAGGAACAAGTGTTCAAACTATGGGCCTGTCTTGGGGGACATCAGGTCCAAACTACAATAGTTTCGGGGGTAGGATCCACTATTCTCCCCTTTTGTATAGAATGCACTCTTGAATCTTATTCTCAGACCTTGTGGTTGTGCCGTCAGATGGGTACAAATGTGCCGTGGAACCCATACGGCATCCGCAGGGGTACCTCTGCTCGGCCCAATTCTTCAAAGTTCTTGGCATCCAAGACAAGAAGAAAATTGTTTTCATTCTAGAAAAAATAAAAACAACACTGATAGCTCCCTCTTTGTTTAAAAAGTCTATCTGCACTAGCTGGGGCATTCCTAAGGGTTGGACCATGACTTACTCCTGTTCATATCTGCTCCAGCACCTAGCCACTCGCTAAATGCTGAATTGCTGGACTGGACTGAAAAGCATGGCTGAAGAAGTTCATACCCAAAAGTAAAGAAATAAAGTTGTTCATGCCAATCATCTTCATGAGATCACTTTCAATCTAATTATCTTTTTACTCGTGCCTTTCCAGTCTCTTAAGATACATGAAAATTCTTCCAAATTAGAAATGCTTCCATTTTGTGTTACTTAGGAACTGTTCAAATGTCAGCACTGCAAGTCAGACAGATTTGTGCCGACCTAATTACTGGAGCGCTCAGTACATGATGTGGGAATAATGTCTCCCCACAGCAGACATTACTAATTGATCACAGCACTTTTCCCACCAAACCATTAGGCCACAAAACCCCACACCCAGGTGCCACTAATAATTGATCAAAGCTGGTATTTGAAGTGAGTACACTTGCTATAAGATTGTCCAGACAAGAAGTCAGTTAGTAAGTAACATGAGATGCTAGGCCAGGCCTTAAAATATTGGACTGTGAGGTCAGTTCTTTGCCTTTGGAAACATGAACAGTGCTATGAACATTAGGCAAGAAGCCAGATGATTTAAACATTGGTTTTACCACTGTGATATTTGATGCAAGTCTCCTTAAGTTACAAATTTCACATGAATAAAATGGGCTCCCACTGGGCATGGTGGTGTAGGCCTTTAATCCAAGCACTCAGGAGACAGAGGCAGACTGATCTCTGTGAGTTCCAGGCCAGCTGGGGCTATAAGGAGACCCTGACTCAAAAAGACCCAAAATAAATAGATAGATAAATAATAAATAAATGAATAATGAATAAATAAATAAAATGGTCTCCCACAATTTTTATAACTAACATAATATGTTTGAAAGTACCTTATCAATAATACAAATGTAAAATTATTATTATGATTTACAAATAGGACTTTAAAACAATGAAAAGTTATGGACTGTTATTTTATTATCATTTTATTTGTATTTATTTTTGTGTGTATGAGTGTATTGCCCACATATGTGCACCTGTGTCATGCAATGCCCACAGAGGTCAGAAGAGAGCATCAGATTCCTCTGGAACTAGAGTTATGGACAGTTGCTAGGCACCATGTGGGTGCTAGGAATCAAATCTGGGTTCTCTGCAAGAGCAGCTAGTGCTCTTAACCGCTGAGCCATCTCTCCAGCCCCAGATTGTGGGTTTTTTTTTAAGTGTGGGGGGGTATATGTACACAGTAAGAAGAGAGAAGATGCCATAGAGATATCAAAAATAAGCATCACAAAATGTCATCACCATCACTTGACTTAGCGCTGCATGTTTTTCTGAGCAATGGCAAGGAAACTGATTTACCTGGCTGGGAGTGATCACCACGGAAAGAACAACCCCACCATCTTCTTCACTGGCTCCTGGTACTGGAACAAAAATGGGCTCTGAGGGATAAAAGCCATCTTCTCTCCAAACCTGCACGTTCCACACAATTGAAAAAAAAAAAAAAGTGGCATCTGATAAAAGGCCAATTGTGATTGGGACACTTTCTACAGTTTTTGTCACTCAGTATAAACTTGGCTGTCAACAGAATATTTTAATGGATAAAACAAAGCCAGGCTTACTGGGTTGAATATAAATAGGAGCCTCCAGATTCCATCCCCATCAAACATAATTTGTGTGATTATAAGTTCCCATCAACCTGAAATACAGGGGTCTCAATAACCTTCACTCCATATTTCTCCTAAAACATCAGATTTAGCATTATTTTCCTGAGCTTTGGGTTTCCTTTAGATTTCCCACACAGGAAGCCAACCCTTAACTTAGTTGATGCTGTAGTTCTCAAACTTAAAAAAAAATAGTTGAGCTATTTTAATGTTAAAGACTCTGAAGAAGTACTTTAAACAAAGCAGAAATTAATTCAAAGGGCGGAATAGGTCTCTGGAAAGTTCAGGAAAAAAAGATTTTTATTACCTTCAGCGTCTTGTTCACCACGTCAACCTTAATCAGAGAATCCCCCACCAAATGCCGAAAGCCACAGCCATAGAAGAAATTATACTTTTTCCCATTGAATTGGCCATAGTTTATCTGAGGAAATTCAATTCCCCCTTCCAACTCCAGGTCCTGATGATGTAGACTTTCAGGAGAGCACCAGATCTAAGAGATCCCAAAAGGATACGAAGTGCTTAAGTAATTCTTATCTTCTGTAGCATTGGTCAATGAAGGGGAAGAATATTCCATAAGTCCATGATAGGATTTGGGCACTGTTCTAGTTTGCTTTTAATTGCTCTGACAAAACACTCTGGCCAATACCAACTTGGAGAGAAAAGGGTTTATTCTGCTTACATCTCCCAGGTTCATCAGGCATCTCAAGGTAGGAACTCAGAGCAGGAACCTGGAGGCAGGAGCTGAAGCACAGGCCATAGAGGAGTGCTGCTTACTGGCGTACATGCTCCCCTGGCCCATGCTCAGCCTGCTTTCTGATACAGTACAGAACAACCTGCCCAGGGGTGGCACCGCCCACAGTGGGCTGGGCCCTCCCACATCACTCAAAAATCAAGAAAATACCCCACAGACATGGCCACAGACCAGTCCAATGGAGACAACACCCCAGTTGAGGCTCCCTCAACCCAGGTGTGTCAAGTTGACAACTAAAGCTATCCAGCACAGGCACTAAGGGTCTATCATTTTTCATATCCTTCCTCTGTCCGTGATGAGTATGAGCATATATAATTTTATCAGGCTTTGCAAATAAGTTGTCAAATGATGTAGGAGATAGAAGTAGTTCCTTATTCTACTAAGGTAAGACATCGATAGCTATACAATGAAATGCCAGCATCTTTTCTAGAAGGTGGAGAGGGTCCATGACAATCTTAAAGGCTGACATTCCACAACCATTAGAAAAATCATACATATCTGTTACAAGACACAAAAAGTATTGTCAAAAACAGTGTTCAGCCCCATTCAGTTTCTGTGACTCTGTGCAAGCAAGTTTCCATGACCTCACCAAGCTCAACTAAATGTAACAAAGCCTACTGGGCATCAAACATTTGGAGAACAGCCACGGATAAAGTGATGCCACTAAAGTTCAAATTCTCACTCTAATGTCATTCAAGCATACCTTTCCATCACCCTGTTTCACAGCACTGGCTGAAGAATAGGACAATGGACTGAGGTTCTCTCCCTCAGGGACATTCACACTGACATCTAAGGGCAAAACAAATCTTCGAGGGAAAGATGTTGCCATTGAATTATAGACCTGTTCAGAAGAGAGAAATAAACCAATGGAAATATATGTCATCACTAGAACAACAAACCAGTCATTTAAATTCAGATATTACTGGCATTCCAAAGTAATTATATAAATGATAATTCACATTCACTTACTCAACAAGTATTTATTGAATACCTACTGTAGGCTAAGTATTGTTTTAGACACTGGGAATACGATATTGAAAAAAGTAGGGTCTTTGGCATCATAGAACGTTTAGCCTATTGGAAGAATAACAACTATGAAAATTATTTGTTAATTAGCATCAAATACAAATGATTATATAATCAAAGGTCCCAGGGACTAGACAGTGACAAGGGATGTTCCCCTTTCCATGTTTGCTGAATCCAAAAGAGGGTCAACCTAGCAGGCCAGGATTGCTCAAACTCTACACATTCTTGAGAAAGGCTGATTTTCAAGACAAACCCTTAGCTCTTTCCTAGGAACTGAGTTCTTGGGACACTGTGTCTCATAAGAGTTTGTGAGGCCTTGAGTCACACTGTGTAGCTAATCCATATAGTTCATCATAACAGTGGAATTTAAAATGAACTTACAAAAATTCAATTAAAAATAGACAAAAAAAAAACAACTGGGGGCTAAGGATATAGTTCAATGGTACAGTGCTTACTTGGCATGTACAAAGCCCAGGGTTCAATCCTTAGCACTGAAAAAAATGAAAAATATAATTAATAAATTAATTAAACACCTGAGATCTTCTACAGGCCTAGAACCTTCAGTAACTGAGGTTGGTCTTATGGGCCTGGATGCCTATGTGACTAATCCCCAATAAACCCTGGCAAACCAGGTGTTGAACCTCCCAGGGAGACAACAATTCAGTGTTGTTATGACTAGTTCCTGGGGGAATTATGTGTGCCCTACATAGTTTACTTGTAGAAGACTGGTATGAGCTTGTGCCTGGCTTCCTCCAGACTTTATGTCAAACACTTTTTAAAAAAGAAAGAAAGAAAACCTTATTTTACTTTTACACTAAGCCCTGTGAGTCCTCATAAATCTCTGAAGCTATGTGGTGATCCCAGCAACTCCAACATAGTCCAGCTACTGAGATGATGTTTCAGCAGGAGATGTAAAGAAAAGATGTACATTTACTGTCACCATTTGAGCTTTAAGCATACTTTCCTCTCCTAAAATATTATAATATGGAGAGCAAACTGCACTATTTTCCCTGAACTACATTCTCTACTTTATTTCCACCTCACACCCAGAAATGCCTTCACTGAGTAAAACATAATGCTCTTCTTTTACCTTTTAATTTGTGTGCATGTGCACACGTCACAGCATGCATGTAGAGGTCAGAGGACAACTTGGTGGGAGCTGATTCTTTCCTTCCACCATGTGAGTTCCATAGACCAAACTCAGGTAGTCAGGCTTGGCAGCAGGTGTTGCAGCAAGTGACTTTACCCACTGAGCCATTTAGCAGCTCCTAGAATGCTATTCTTAAGCTTCGAAAAAGGTTAGCTTTAAAATTTTACTTTTTTTTATTCAAAGTTGAACTTTATTCAGAGAGCAGGAAGGCAGCTGATTAACATCCTAGGAATGAACAAACAAGCAAACAAAACCAACAGCTTTATAACTCAGCTCTATCCAACATGTTTTACAGGGCCAAGCATTCCAGGGCCCAGTCTTGCCCCTCTAGCTGCATTTTTCAGATTTGTGATACCTGTGCCTGTCTTTCTATCATCCCTTGAATTCTACTCTTATTCCTGAATGCCTAGACTCAGGCATTTCTTGAAAGATTGAGTCTAATTGTTGTCTGTTGGTATCAACCCTGTACTTCTCCAGGACCATCTGGGCTGGAGTGTCCACTCAGCACAAGCAAATCATTGGTGCTGAGCTAGCAATAACATGAACATGCTGAATCCTTTTTACAGTATGGAATACAAAGGTGCCCCATACTGTTGACTGTATAAGTGCCCCACCTATCCCTCTAGTCCCCTGTCATTTATGCAATGACTTATAGCTTAATGTGTTTATTTGGTTATTGTTTTTGAGACTGTGTCTCCCTGTAGCCCTAGATGGTGTGGAACTTGCTGTGTAGACCAGGCTGGCCTTGATCTTAAAGAAATCTGCCTGCCTCTGCTTCCCGATTGCTAGAATTAAAGGCATACACCACAATACCTAGCCTTTAAACGGTTTATCCATGTACATCAGAGTGTGTTACACACAGAAGGCCTCAACTGGCCAAGTTTTGGAGAATAAGAGATTGTAGACTGCAAGATGGGACTCCTATATTGAACCTCACCCACCACAGCTCAGGGACCATTGCAGAAGAGGAGGCGGAAAGATTGTAAGAGACCGGGCTGGTTCATGAATGTGTGAGGTAGAGGCTTCTGGGCCAATGGAGGCTTGCTTATGTGCACCTGCAGCAGCAGTGGCATCTAACGTGGGACCCCTGTCAGCTCAATTAAACAAGGGCCTAAAGGGGAGGTGAGAAATAGGTGGCAGGTCAGCACTAGCTTGAGAACTATTTGAGACTGGTGGCTGCTGGGTGAGGGAGAGTATGACTTACATGCAAACACTGGATGGGCTGACTAGACTCCAGTGGATGCATTTATACTGAAGGACATTTGGGACTCAGCATGTATGGCAGAGTGGGGGGGGCATGGATGGGGGAGGGGATCTGGATGTGAGTGGGAAATACTGTATGAAATTTTAAAAGCTCAATAAAAATTAACAAAAAAATTTACTTTTTTAGTATGGTTTTCTTTTGTAAAACCATATCTCTAAACAAAAAGAGACTTAACAATGGTGGATTAGGTGATGTGAACTATTCTTTTGAAAAAGAGCTTCTTAAAAAGGTTGGATGGGGAGAAGTCAGCAGACAGCCTGAGAGTGTCTGATCTGGCCTCCACCTGGTGTAGGGGCTGAGAACACAGCAGATCACCTGAGAGTGCCAAAATTGGGCCTCCCCTTTGCAAATTTCCCAAATTGTGCTCTGAGTATCCACTAGAAGGGGTCCAAATGTCAGAAGGAAGCCTGAGTGTACCTAACTGGAGCCTGACTTGGGCCTCTGTGGGAGCTCCTGAGCAGCTGATCTGAAGTCACCAGTTCCCTCAAAAATAAAATCTAAGAGAACCTGAAACCTAGACCAACCAGCTTTATATAACCACTAAGAAAAAGGCATACCAATAATACAAACAGAAGCAAACTTCAACTCAACAAAAGAAGGTTTGAGTTTCATACCAGAATCACCAACAACAAAAGAAATCCACATGCCAAAATCACAATACAAAAATAATAACAGGAAAATGCAAAACAAAATGTTCCCACCAAACTCCACCAGTCGTATAGAAGAGTTCTAAAAGGAGATTCCCCCAAGAGATTACCCAGGACACAGAATTTAAAAGAAAAATCATAAACATGATCAAGGAATTCAACAAATTTAAAGAATATACGAACAAATCAAAGACCTAAAAGAAGATAGGGATAAACTTCTGACTGAAGTCACAAGAGATAGAAGCATTGAAGAAAACTCAGGCTGAAATGAAGAACAAGGTGGAAAACTCAATAAGCCAATTTGAAACAACAAGAGAAAGCCTCACTGCTAGAATGAATGAAATGGAAAACGTAATATCAATACTGGAGGATAAAGTTGAAGAACTGAACCACTCAAGCAAAGATTATGAAATTTTTTTTAAACATAGGAATGGAATATGCAGGAGATGTAGGGCACCATGAAAAGACCAAATCTATGTATCATAGGCAGAGAAGGAGAATTTCAGGTTAAGGGTACTGACCAGATCTTAAACAGCATTGTGGACAAGAACTTCCCAAAATTAAGGAAAGACACGCCCATACAAATACAAGAAACACATAGAAAACCAAATAGACAGAGCCAGAAAAGAAACTCCCCACAGCATATCAGAGTAAAAACACTAAATGTACAGAACAAAGAGAGAGACTACTGAAAGAAGCAAAAGAAAAACAACAAGTCACATATAAAGGAAAACCCATCAGAATTACAGCTGACTTATCAATACAAACTATGAAAACCAGAAAAGCCTGGACCAAGGTATTTCCAGTTCTTAATGACTATAGGTGCCAACCCAGAATAGTTTACCCAGCAAAAATGTCTAAAATAGTTGAAGGAGAAAGAAAAATCTTCCACAATATGAATAGGCTGGTATGAAGCAATACAAAGAATGGAGAAAGAAACAACTATACCCAGACAACAGAAAAAAACTAAATGAAGGCATAATTGTGGAAACACAACATTTTACAAAGAATGCAAACAGTAATCAAAATGAATGCAACCAATGCACATCTTTCAATAATAACTAAATATCAATGGACTGAACTCCCCAGTCAAAAGACAAGTAAGCTGAATGGATTCAAAAACACAATCCAGAGTTCCTCCCTGCAGTCCCCAGGAGCCCTCTGGACCTGGTACCGCCCTCATCTCCCTTTGCTTCCTGGACTGCACAGCCTCCAGTGTCCTGGTGCCAGCACGCCCACCGCACCTTGACTCCCCCAGCCTCTTTCACCCTCCTAGCTCCCCTGCCCACGGCTCTCCTCCTAGCTTGGGTACAGGCTCATTTCTTGTCTCAGCACCCCAGACACCACAGCTAACCTCTTGGCCCACAGCCACCACTGCTTCCTGATCCTCTGCATCCAGACCAACCCAGTTCCTCCTTCTGGCCGGCAGGAACACTCTGGGCCTGGTCCCGCCTTCACCTCCCTTTACTTCCTTCGGTGAGACAGCCACCAGCTTCCTGAGACCACCCAGGCCAACCCAGCCCCCTAATTCCTGAGGGCAGCATATTTCCTGGAAGGACCCAGACCTTAAGAGAAAGCCTGAAAGTATCTGAGCCTCATCTCACTTGGTCCTCTGTGGGAACTCAAAGACAAAAGCAATCAGGCCACTCCAATATAAAATCAAAAAAGAGAACCTGAAGCCTATACCAACCAACTTTTCATGCACAAGTAAACCACAAAGGCACATAAAGTTTACAGAAAGAAGCAGTTCTAAA